GAAGACAAGCTGTGCTAAGCAAGTATGTATAATGTGTAAAGGTTCTGAAATTAAGTCCATGGTAAATTGACAATCATGATTTCAGGATATTAAAAAGAGCATGGACATGTAGGAGCACCAATTATGAAACATTACAAGGTGTAAATGGGAAAATGGAGTTGCAGCATAAAGTTAAATTCTTCATTACTTTGTACCATCATGGCAGAAAATTCCACAACTAATTACAAGAAAACTGTGGGAATCAATTCCCTGCTTAAGGAATGTCAAACACTGAATAGGACTGATATTTGAGGTGCTCGCCTTGTTTTACAATATTAGCCTTGTGGGCATATATATAAACTGATATAAGCAGAAAAGGTTTTTTTTAAATGGGAAGCTGTTATGAAAATGTATCGTATCAAAACTGCAAACTGTCAATTTCAATTATTTGAATATTCTGTGTATATATTATGTGTATAAATTGTGGTTTTTAGTTCCTGTTGACAATGCAGACTACAAAAGAAAAATATTCGTCAAAAACAAAAGCTTCAGCTGCTGACCATGATAAACAATACAGCAATGTGGTTGGAAATAAGAAAAATGATGCAGTCAGCCGCAGGACAAAAACAAAGCCTTGAATCGAATTGCAGAGATCTTCAATTTTCAACGTTTTCTAAAGAACTTTGTATGGTTAATGGAGATAATGAAAAATGCTTATTTTTTTGAAATAATCTAACCTGTTTACCATCATTCAAAAATATATAATCAAGTTCAAACTGTCAATTTCAAATATTTCAATATTCTGTGTACAATATGAATTCAATTTGGTTTGAAGTTCAACCCTGCTATGCATTAATAATAGACAAAAATATAACCATATAGTTAAAAACAATAAAACCAATCTGGTGAGCTATCAATAGAAAAAACTAGACCTAGCTTTACATTGATAAGAAGTTTAATTTCCAGTAGCAGCACTGATGTAAAAAGCAGAACTTGGTATATGTCAAAAAAAGGAACTGTGATTAAATAATCTGTTGCAATATACCTTTTTAGAGAAAAAACAAAACCTTTTCCTGTTTATTTTGGCAAATAAAAGTAAGATAATACTGAGAGACATAGTTGCTTACAAGCAGGGGATGTCTGATAGATTCCAATAAGGTCCCAGCATTTTACTTTCTTGACAGTGTTGTACAACATATTAAAGTAATGCTTGACGATCCCTGTGATAGTACTTTCCTTACTTATAGAATTTAAATAGTGTAGACTGTCAACCTTTGGATAAAGGGGCAGATTCTTTAAAGAGCAAAATCCATTTTCATATGAAATAAGCTAATGGACAGTCTAGGAAGGTACGTCCAGTTGCATGTTTAACAAAAACTAACTCTTAAAAAATAAGAGGACACTATGCACCAAAGATAGTTAAAACTTTACGGTTATTCAGATATAAATACGTTTTTAGAGGCTGCTGGAACTCGAACAACTCAAAGAACGTTTCTTATTTATTAGATCGAGTTGTAAACTATATGACACGCCAAAGCTAGTAAGGAAACAAATAATTTTTTTTCCAATTATTTTCTAATTATAAAAGGGGATAATTCATGTAAACTGTGCTCAGAAAGAATAAAAACATTGTATGAAAAAAGAAACACTAAAAAAGAATAATAAATTTTATTCAAACTGCTTTGCTACATATCAAGGGATATAGTTGTGGAAAGTAATTTCGAATTTTGTTTTCAATGCTGCTGTATGTTTTTGCCAAGTCAAGCCATTATCAAAGGTGTCCCTGAGGTACATGACAGAATTTTTTCATTGTATACGACTACCGTCTGCCGAAACCTCTAGTGGGGACCGCGACGTTTTCTGCTACAATACCTATATTTTCGAATGATTACTTTTAATCAAATCAGCCATCGTTCCGCCCACTCTAGTACTTCCTCCTTTGCATCTTGTAATCTGACGTGAACCAGATTACCAGTACTTGACTGGCGCAGTGTCGTCAGCATATAGGTAGACTTCACACCACAGTTGTTCAGTAAAAAGTGAGTGAGGCATTGGTTCTAGGACCGAACCTTGAGAAAACGTTAAATTTGATCTGAAACTTCCTTTGACGCTGGATGTTAGTAATTGTTAGAAGCGAAAAAGAGAAACAATTTTGTATTAATTTATAGATGAGACCCGCATGCCACACGTTGTCAAAGGTTTTTGAGACATCCAAAAGCAAGATGCAGATACTCAGTTGAGGGTGAATCCTTTGGGTACATGTTCCACCAGCCTGATTGCCTAAAGCTCGGTACTTATGTTTCGACCGAGAGTCGAATTGAACGTTACGAATCAAATGGTTATCTGACGAGAAAGAAAGGATTGGCTTCATACGAAAACTTACGCAGTTTAATCCACAAAGTTTAACCTCCTATATCTATTCATGAATCAAAATACTAGGTAGTAGGGATGGGCAAAGATAACTTGTCATTTGGATAACGGGTTTCTTAGATCGGCCTGTTCAACACGTTATTTTATAATGTGCGGTTATTAGATCAGAAAGTTCAATTTCTTTTCTAACTGTAATGCATATAGGCATCCTGGATATACCCCCGTATTCATATTTCAATCTCCAATACTTACCACCTTCCCCTCTGTACCGACGTCTAAATTTGTCAATTCAAGTTTTAGAAAAATATCCGATTAATCCACAACTGGCTTTTTATCAATAACCGCCCATCTCTATCAAATAGGGTAGGACGTGATATCTCTTTGAGGCTATGCCGGTTTCTTTGTTTCGTCCCGTGCCCCCTCCACATTCGCTCTTGAGTCAACCGATTTTAACATCAGTTCAAATTTGAAATTTGTAGTAGGCTTTTTATATCGTATGCTTATTGCAGTGATAAATATAAGTGAAAATGGCAGAACGTGATTTATTTGAATCGGGTGAGCACTCCCAGAGGTCCTCAACCCCTCTACTTCATTTACCAAGGAGGTATATTCGTGATAGCTCGAATCCGCTGGAGCATTGTAGGGACCAAGAATTTCAAAAACGCTTTCGATTCACAAAGGATTGCGTGGTTCACGTTCTCTATCCTATGGTCTACTTGCATTGCTCAAAGATACATCCCATCCTGAGAAGCCGAGATTACAAGATACTGTTTCAGGACAGAATAATTCTAGTGCAAGGCACGTTATTAGAGGAAAAAGAAGAGTCGATATATTTAAATTTTTTGTCCACCCACTGTTTTGTTTGTAGAGCTTCTAATTTTGAAAGTAGCATACAATATTGTTAACATCATGATGAAACATTTGTTTTAAGAGAAAAGAAGAATTACAAATTGATGAAATCTGTATTTCCATATATTTCTGAAAGAACCTATTTCTAAATAAATATTGATTTTACCACTGATGCTTTTATTTACATTCCACAAATACTTGCCATCTGAAAAGTATAATACATGAAATTGTTAATGAACTCATATGTAGTATGTCAAAACGTAAGTATCACCAATCCAATGATGATTCTAAATATGTAGCCAAAAAAACAATATATCAAACATGAAATCACAATGTGTATCACAATAACCTTTATTCAATTTTAATTTACTTACATAAAATATACAGGTTGTTTTCCAATTGAATGTCTATATTTAAGGGGGTAACTTTGAGTCCATTTTAAGAAGAATATTTCATATGACGTATATCCTAAATCTCTTGACCTTTGAGAAACAGAGTGGTAAACTTTTCAAAAAGTAATAAAAATTTTTGTAAAGATCTGGAATACCACTTTAAATACTTTATCAAAGTTTGGCATACATGTACATCAAGAGGTATTTGTAATGCAACATTTTTTCAAATCCCACCAGTGGCGTTCGTACGAATTTCACTTGCCTATTTTGGCAGACAATGATAGTAGGCAACTGATTTCTCTTAAAATAAAAATTGCTCTTAAAATCATCAGTGATTTTATGAAATTAAAATACTGTTTCTTTGCATGACCCTAATATCGTTAGTATCACAATGTCACTATGTATAAATAAACAGTATTTTTGAAAAGACTTTTTTTTAGTCAGACCTATGATTTCCACCCAAAAAATAGAAACTATTTCGCTGCATGGTGATATTGCAATATTAACAATATTCAGAGACAGTGTTTATTTTTATGAAAACCGTACATCAGAAAAACATTCAAGTGATTAAATTTGCTTAGATGTGATTAAAAATTTTAATAAAAGAGACATTAGTGGCATACCATTACTGCCTGTCAAAATAAGCAGGTGAAATTCCTTAATAGCATCACTGGTGGAAATTAAAGAAATGCCTCGTCACTCATGTACAATTAGGAAACACACTGAATCGCAGCTCCTAGTATTACAAGAGGTATATGCACACTTTTGAGCCAAAGATTTTTTTTTACTGTTTCTATCATAACTAACAAACTCTGCATTTCATATGAGTGTTTCAAATATCAAACCAGTTTAATTCTTGATATTTCTTTTTCAACCTGAAAATGCTTTCCTTTCACATGCCATACTTTTGATAGATTTTCCCTTTTAAGTTGGGGTTCCAAATCAATTAAAAACTTTCAGTATTGAGATTTGAATTTCTTGATAAAATGATTGAAAAATTTAAGTTTCCTTACTTTTTTTTCCTTATACAATATGCTACAACACTAATATATGGTGCAACACATTTAAAAAGTACAACATACTGTTCTTTGAGGCTCAGTGCATCAATCTTATTATTGCCGCTGATGTATTTTTTTGGTATCCTCAGTAGCTGGAGACTCAATTATAAATAATAATTTAAAACCACAATTTATACCTAGAAGTTTAAATTCAAATGAAATTTTGTATCTCAGAGCCAGGTAAGTCCTACCTGTAATGATCAGCAAATTTACATAACTTTATAAGTTAAGTCGCATATGATACAAGACAAATTCTGAAACGCAATTACCTTATTATCTCACTTATTGTGGCTTAACCTAGCCTGACTTTGAGGTACTCTTTTCAAAATAATGGGTCTTTTCTGCTTATCTAGACCTTTGAAGTGTTTGAAATTTGTTTAATAGGAAAGTGATTCCCTGGATGAGTCAGAATTTTCTTGTATTTTTCCATTTGTAATTAATTGTGGAATTCTATGTCATGAAGTTTTTCTGATTTAAATTCATGCTACAACTGTGTTTACTCCCTGTAATACTTCATATTTGGTAATCCTACATGGATATGGTATTTCAAGCATCCTGAAATAACAATGATAAATGGTAATTACGATCTTCACATACACAGATTGTACATATTTGTAGCTTGTCACTCCACATAGAGTCCAGTAACTTCTCGTAAAGTCTGTTTGAATGAATTACACCTGAAAATAATGCAATAAGTATATAATATGAATATCCAATGATTTGTTTTGCAACTTACCAACCTTCATCAAGAGAACAGCTTGGTTGTAAGCTTCTGGATTTTTATACAGGGAATTGATTCCCACAGTTTTCTTGTAATTAGTTGTGGAATTTTCTGCCATGATGGTACAAAGTAATGAAGAATTTAACTTCATGCTGCAACTCCATTTTCCCATTTACAGCTTGTAATGTCTCATAATTGGTGCTCCTACATGTCCATGCTCTTTTTAATATCCTGAAATCATGATTTTCAATTTACCATGGACTCAATTTCAGAACCTACACATTATACATACTTGCTTAGCACAGCTTGTCTTCAAGTTCGTAAGTGTTAAAATTATGACTATGATCATACAGGTTTATGCCAGGCTTTAATTAACAAATTGCAGTGTAACACATATCGGTCACATAAATCAAATTCACGTTTTGTTTCTGTAAGATTCCTTCAGTTATGCCTGGATGCATAAATTCCTTCTTAGAAAGATCATTCACCTCCTTATCCTTCCAAAGTAAACATAGCATTTTACTGAGGAACCAACTTCTCATAAAGTCTGATAATGAATCACACCTGAAAATAATGCGATAAGTATATATGGATATGCAATGATTTGTTTTGTAACTTACCAACCTCCATCAAGAGAATAGCTTGGTTGTAAGCTTCTGGACTTTCATACAAACAAATATAATATTATAATATAATATATCCATGTGCATTAATTTTCCTAACTCAACAATTTCTTGAAGATTCCACAGGTTGTGGAATTTGTTCAATGTAGCGAGGTACTTTTGAGTGATCGATAATTATTTGCAAGAAAATTATAAATTATGGTTCTGCTGTCATGTGACTTGAACGTCAAAACAACCTCAAGCCAGAACTGTCAGATGTCGGAAATCAAAAGGAGGACATACATGTGCGTTAACGAAGAAGACGTAATATTATCGAAATCAAGAAGGCCATAAACGAGCCCTTAAATGCATTCACTAGTAAATACGGCCAATGTCCAACCCAACTGGTTTAACCTTGTACTGAACAAATATTTTCTTGAAAATATTTTTTCATCTAAAATATATGTGACTCTGTTTTGGTGCTGCGAAAAAACAAACAAGCATTTAGATTAGTTCCGTGTCTAACTATAACAATCTTACAGCTACAAGTGAAGGCAGTATTCCAATGGCTCAAGATGAAGAATTACATCTGATAGAATTGGACCAAGGTGATGGATGGACGAGGGTGCGAAGAAACACTGGCGACTGTGAAGAAGGTTTTGTACCCACCTCATATATTGAATGTGTACTTCTCGATACCTAGATCAAAACTAAATGAAACATGTGGTTGCCGTGAGAGGTTATCATTGTTAGTCTTGCAAAGGCATGCCAGATATGGTGCATTACTTATTACTAGGTCGGCTGTTATTTTTTTTAAATCGTCGGTAAAGGTTTCTTCGAAAGTGTCATGGACTTGCCAAAAAACTTACCAGCCAACCCAATATTATTCGAATGGGCGCTGCTATAAGATTATTGCCCTTTATGAAGTGAAAGTGTATTTACAAGTCAAAAGTATCAATTTAGAATTAAATATATTTTTGTAAATTATTTATGCAATATTTAACTATGTAGTTAGTTCTTCTTGTTTTCGCCTTTATATATTTTATGTATCTGCAGTCGAGGTGACGAATTCTGTTGTTGGCTGAAAATTTCGTTATCATTGTATTTGAAGGAAACTATTATAAATCTGACCAATATTGTTTTTAATCGCATTTAATCGGTCATTCTAGAATGACATGACATTTTGAGAGATTTGCGACAGTCTTTGGAACCAGCTATAACATAACATCCAATGCACGTGAGTTCACCATTTTCAGTTCATATTCCCATCAAATTCAAGTTAAGTGTAGTACGCTTATACAAATAAGACTTGTAATCACTTTAATATATAGGGTGTTCCATCCGTTCCTTCTTTTTTTAATCTATAAAAAAAAAAATTATGATTAAGAAACCGAACTCTTTATTGAAAATTGTAGGTCGGTCTTTGCCATTTATGTATGGAATATAACATCGCACATATGTCCACCGTGGCTCCGTTGACATGCCATCGTCCGACCATCAAAATTTTCGATGACTCTTTGCAGTATTAGCGGATCCACGGCCGCAATTTCGGTGCGAATGTTGCGCTTAAGGTCTTAAATCGTCCGTGGGGCAGTCAGTCCTTTGGCTTTAAGTCGCGTCACCTTGGAAGCCAATTCACGTCGGAATTTCTCAAAGTAATGCGATCTGGAAATTTCTCGGCGGATAACTGGATTGTTCAGCGAGCTGTGTGCGAAGTTGCACCATCTTGCTGGAACCAAAGGTCATTGGCATCAATATCTTCAAACAAAATCCGTTATCATACTACGATGACATTCGGCGGTGAGTTCATCCTCGAAAAAGGACGGTCCAATGATGCCATCAGCCCATAATCCGCACCAAACAATTACTTTTTGATCATGGAGAGGTTGTTCATGGATCTCGTGTGAATTTTCCGAACTCCAAATCCTAGAGTTTTGCTTATTTACGTGACCACTGAGGTAAAAATGTGCTTCGTCTGGAAAGATGATTTTAGACGAAAATCCCCCTCCTTTTCCAAGCATCCATTTAACAAAAATACACGATTGATGATAGTCCGCTGGCTTCAATTTTTGAGTTAGTTGAATCTTGCATGGGTATAGGTGGAGATCAACATGCAAAATCCTCCATAATGTTGTTGGCCTGATGTCCAATTCTTGCGAACGGTGTCTTATCGAAGTTGATGGCTGCTCATGAACACTTTCACTCACAGCGGCCACTGATTCAGGTGTACGTACCGGACGGGCATGTTCATATGTTCTGCAACCTTCATCTGAGCCAGTTTCCTCAAAACGATTGATAATCCACCGAATTTCACGCTCTGTGGGTCGATTATGTCGACCAAATTCATCACAAAGTTTGCGGAAAGTACTTTTTAAAGATCGTCCGTTTTCGTAATATTTTTGGACGAGCAAAATGCGTTCTTGCGTTGTTAAAGAATCCATAATAAATGGCAGACCTTTGACAGTTCATATGTGCTGAACACATGGCAGTTGACACATTTAATAAGCATGTCAAGAAATGGTAGTTGAAGAAAAGAAGCAATAGATGGAACACCCTTTACATACTATACTACTATTGTTTCGATTTTTTTCCCTTAGTTATCCAAATACGCAGCTTTGCCTGGGTAAAGCAACCGGGGGATTATTCAATGTCTTGTGTTTAGAATGCCTTATTTTAGTTGGAAAAACATCCTTTGTTCCAAATTAATTTAAACAGCTTTATCACAATCAGATAAGCTGATTTTTCAGCCAATGTGCATTTTGGAATCAAGGATTAATTTACAATAATTGCGAACAAAATGTAGTATACAGGTTGTGTATCCAGAGCACGCTGCTGCAGCTCGGTCGGCGCCGGCGGTCGAGTGTGGGCGCGACACCTGAGAAGGAGTCAGCGTTGCCGTTCTTTAGCCTAATGCGTAATCTTTCGTAACACAACCTGTATATACTGACTTGAATACAAAATATTATCCAGTACAATGGCTATAAACGTTTATTAAAAGTCAGTCCAGAATGATATAGACGGTATTTTCATTTGTAGATAGTTTAATACTTACATAACCTATTGTTTACTATGTTTTATCTTTTTATATGTGTATATTTCTGTACACTAACCCTGTGTACTGTGTGTTTCAAATTAGACGCGCATCATTTAGATCTCAAAAACAGTAAGAGATACAAAGTCGGTTAAATGGGATTTTAAAATAAAAAGTACATCAACATTTCAACTTTTTCTCCTCTACAAAGTGACAATTAGAATTTCAATATAACCTTTCATCTCTTATCCTCAACCATCAAGTTTGTCCTGGTGAATACACTTTTCAATTCTTATTCAAAAAATGTATATGACATGCATTGATATTGTCAAACCTAAGTTATTTCAATAAAACTAATATTGTGATAGTCACCTTTCATATGTGATATAAGCGTGTATAGGACATTCTTAGCACGATGAAGGCACTGTACATGACACATCTTCTCTATGATGAGGTTCAAATTTGGCTGACGTCATAATGTGTACGAGAGAGAAGCGTGCAATATGTATGTTAGAAAGAGTTCGCCGATGGCATCCTCGTACCCGGGTTGCTAGGCAACGAGGTGCTTCTATCTCTTTCTAACACACTTATTTGCACGCTTCTCGCGCTTTTCTCTTGTACACATTACGACGTCAGTGGCATTAGGTTTTCAGTGTATATTTTGAGACAGTTCGGTTTCTTTCGTCCATCTCCGGAAATCTCGGAATTGCGAAACTTTCTGACATTTTCTTAGTTACCAACCGACTTTATGTCTCTTACCATTTGTGAGATATCAGTGGTGACAGTCGATGTGTAAAACTCACATCCAATATGTGCTGAAAGGAATAAAACATGATTGTTCCAAAATCAAACGTATTTTCTTAATATTAGCTAAAACTATTTTTTACCTTTTTTCATCTGTGATTGCCTGTATAGATACAGATTACAGGTAGCAGTAATCATATAATATACATAACACGGAAGTTTTGGAAAATCAAAACGAAAATGTTAGCTAACACCAGACATTGCTCAGCTTTTGTAAAAGTGAAACTAGATTTTAAGGACAAATCAACAAAAATAATTATCATATTAATATTGATTTGGAAAAATTAATTACATGCTTTATAATCTCTCTAAATGATTAAGACAATTTCATGCATTTATCTTTGCAGACATCATATCAATCTCATCATATCGCTTGTTTTGCATTTAATCAGCTCTATATTTAAGTAGTATTGTCCTTAAAACCTGATTGTATATGGAGTGTACGTCAATTTCCTAAATGTATTTGTATATGACTGAACCTTGTAATATACTATATAGCAAAAAAAGGTGTTTTATTTTTATTTAATCTCTTTATTGCAAACTTTGAAATTACCCAGATAAGATAGACATTATACCTATTGGTCTTTCCAATGCTCTGTTGCAAGGACGATGTTACCGTTTGCGGTAATGGATGCTCAATGATATAATCTTTTTTAAATAGAAGGTCCAGCATTTTGTTCCAGATTTGGATAGGTCCTTTTAGACCAAGCAATTCAATATACAGGGTGGCGCATCGAAAACGAAACACACATTTACTGGCAGCTCAGTTTTTTTTTTGAAAAACGTTCAGACCCGTCGATTTTGTTTTCGAGGGGGACACAAGTTTGGCAAAAAATCACGTTAACACGTGCAGCCCCCTGGGCGGGGGTGACACCAACCCTAAAATTTTAAATGGAAAGGGGGCTCGAGCGATACCTTATTTTAAAGGTCTTTCAATTCCCTTTATAATGATGTAAAATACATGAGCTTCAGTGCAGTAGTTTTGAAGATTTATTGATTTAAAGCTTAAAGTAGACTTTAATAGGTACATCAGATTAGTTTGTACTACTTTGAGAAGAAATTTGACTAAAAGAATTTACTTAATAAGTAAATGCTTTTCTTCACTACGCCCATGGATTGTTTATCATTTTGTTGTTGAAAATAGCTATTGGAGCGTTTTTTTGTGGCAAAAAAGTTATTTCTTGAAGAAAGATAAGGAAACATCTCGTACTTATTTTAAATAGGAATTTAGTACATAGTTTGCGATTGATTTGACCAAACTTTGTTGCTAAAATAACTTGTAACGTTTTATTACATAAATTAACCATGGTATATTCCACAGCAGAAAGAGTTGAAATTATCGAAATATTTTTCGGAAATAATGAGTGCGCTAATAGAACAGCAGAAATATTTAATGAGCGACATGAGAACAGTAACGTGCATCGAAAATATGTTCTAGAACTTGTAGCTAAATTTCAGGAAACTAGGTCAGTCGCCAATAAAAAACGCAACATTGAAAATCCCATAAGGAACGAAGCAAAAGAAGTGGTGGTTTTAGGGCAAGTTTATGTACCCGCAAATTGGAGACTGTGTGTGGTGTTAGTCGACGTACTGTCCAACGGATTCTAAAGGCCCATAGTTATCATCCGTATAAAATTCACCTGGTACAAGAACTTAATGAAGACGATTTTGATCGGCGATTACAATTTTGTGAAGATACGAGTGAACGAATTATAAACGATGAACATTTTCTATTCAACACTTGCTTTTCCGACGAATGTTCCTTTTTCTTAAATGGCGTAGTAAATCGTCATAACTGCCGATATTGGTCCGATTCTAATCCCAGAATTTATCATGAGGTTCATACACAGCAGCCACAAAAATTAAATGTTTGGGCTAGTATTTTTGGCGATCATTTAGTTGGTCCTTGTTTCTTAGATGGAAATTTGACCGGTGAAATGTATTTGGAATTACTGGAAGACGCCATAGATCCTGTGCTAACAGCCATAATTGAAAATCGGAATGATCGGCGGTACATTGCGAATAGGTTGATGTTCCAACAGGATGGTGCCCCACCACATTACGCATTACGTGTTCGACAATATTTAGATCCGACGTTTCCAGATCGATGGATTGGTAGAAGAGGTGCCATTGAATGGTCCCCAAGATCGCCAGATTTATCACCTTTGGATTTCTTTATGTGGGGTCATTTAAAAAGCAAAATCTATGCTACTCAGCCAACATCATTAGAAGACCTGCGACAAAGAATTGTGAATGAGTGCCTTCAAATTACTCCTTAAATATTGCAAAATGTGCGGCAACGTCTTGAGCAAAATCTTTATTATTGCATGGAGAGTCATGGTGGCCATTTTCAACATTTACTTGCCTAACGGGTCAGTTCATTCTTCATTTTTAAATTACTGTGCTGCCAAATGTATTGATCTCCACTAATGATGATGTATTAGTTTTATTTAAGCTTTAGATCAATAAATCTTCAAAACTACTGAACTGCAGTACATTCATTTTATATCATTATAAAGGGAATTGAAAGACCTTTAAAATAAATTTAAAAATTGACCCCCCTTTCCATTTAAGATTTTGGGGGTGGTGTCACCCCCGCTTAGGGGGCTGCACGTGCTAACGTGATTTTTTGCCAAACTTGTGTCCCCCTCGAAAACAAAATCGACGGGTCTGAGCGTTTTTAAAAAAAAAACTGAGCTGCCAATAAATGCGTCTATTTCGTTTTCGTTGCGCCACCCTGTATAGATTAGGCTAAACCCGCTGCTCCGCTCGCGTTGAGGTAGTTTAAGGTGTATGGGTATTTCGATGCCCCACTATACTCGGACTCTCCATGTATGTACCTGCAGTCAGTCATTGAGCCAAGTGAATAAAAAGTAGTAAACACTAGGAAGTATTTACTTTTTAGTAAAGTAAGGTCTGTCAAGTAAAAGCAAATACTTAATTTGGAGAGAATATGCGTTTACTTTTACTAGGTAGCGTTTGCTGGAAAAGTTGAAGTAAATACTAGCAAATATTTACTTATAAACGTTCCAATTTAAGTATTTGCTTCGCTACAAAAGTACTACGTATTCCTTACGACGCACCGGCAAAAAATGTAAACACGACACGTCCGCTGTGTACACAAAATTACTAAATTAACATATTTATCAGTCGTGCTATCATGTATGTATCGTCTACGCGTAGTAAATAAAACAGATTTTCAGTATCGCACGCCGAGCTCTCACGTCCCCGTTCCTAACTGTACTGTCTCCCCGAAGAGCCTCCGCCGGGGTGGTACTGCTAGAAGCGGTTCCGCCACGCCCAAGCATGTATTTATTGAAATACCAATACACTACAATGTCTAGTAGTGAAGAAGAAAGTAGTGCAGATAAAAATGAAAGCTGTAAAGTTGAAGCGAGTAATACCCAAAGTAAGATGCTCTTTGTGAGCTTATTAAAGAACCACCGAGTGGTATTAAATAAATATATGTTGCCGAAAATGGTGGCAGCGAAAGAAAAAGCTTGTAATGAAATAAAAGATCAGTACAGTAAAGGCATTGGCAAAGTAATCACCATAGCACAACTGAAAAAACTCCTGAAAAACATGAAGACGAATATTAAGAAAAAAACGGATACAAACGCGAGGGGTAATAATCCGATGAAAGTGAATAAATGGGAAAGTGAATTTCTATAAATCGTACAGATTGAAGAGAATCCTGTTTTTTCAAAAGTTCCTGGAGGCGTTGCAGCTGGAGTATAATGGACAACTCATCAGATGCATCGCTTGTAGGAAGCCGAAATGCGCCCTTCCTATCAGATGTAGCCTCAAAAGGGACCAGAAGTCCGCCCCGTCAGAAAGTTGATGTGGTAGAACGACGAAAACGTGTTCTGGAGGGTGAAACAGCGGAAACACCTCAGCTTACAACTACTGAGTTGCAACGCCTTGTACTATTACAACAGTTGGCAGCAGCGAGGTTGCAACAGGACAAAGACAAGTTAGTTATTGAATTATTGAAACAGCGTTTAGTTCAAAATGGAAATGTAGAAGCGACAGTTCCCAACGAGAACATTCTAACAGAGCTTGGAACATATTTACTGTTTGACAAGTAATATTTTCTATGTATTCACAAATAAACGTGTCCTTGTTAAAAGTATGTTTAATTCAGCAAATTACAAAAATGTTATAAATTTAAAACTGCAATAATATCCTCGCGTTTTCTTACTCGTGTACGACGCAAACGGTTACCGTCATCACGTTCCTCATCTTCATACATTACTTCGCCCAAAAGTTCATCTTCAAAGGCTCCTTCTAGGTCAAAGTCATCGTTCAAATATTTTGCTATATTATGCAGTACTGCGCAACACAATATTATTTTCGATACCTTCTCACTTGAAACTCTGACAGTATTGCTGAGTATAGGAAAGCGCATTTTGAGTTGTCCGAATAGTCTTTCTATTATCACCCGTTCCCGAGAATGTAATAGGTTAAACATTTCTTGTTGTCTTTTTATTGCAGGTTTAAATGGAGTCAAGAGCCATGGTGATATTCCATTTCCAGAATCACCAAGGGAACCAAATAATCCCTTAAACTGTGATAATACTTCATTTACTGTACTTCACTTCCAAATCCTGCCATCGTGTACACTTCCCGGCCACTGCGCATCTATAAAGGGTTGTCCAATATGGACGCAGGAAAGTAAACGTCAATTTGACATAGACGCCATCTTTGTTTTCTGTCACATGTCATTGTGTTAGTTGAATGTTTACCATTGATCGCTATGGAGTCGTATTCGATTGAAGACCGCATTAAAGTTATTCAAGAGCACTACAAAAATGGTGCAAAAATAAAAAACACGTTTCGCGCGCTTCGTGAACATTTCGGTCGCAACAACCGCCCAAACGAAACAACCATCGGTCGTCTGGTGCGTAAATTCAAGGCAACAGGTTCTGTGGCAAATCTGCCAGGCTCTGGCTGGCCAATGAGCGTTCGCACACCGGAAAATATTGCTGTTGTGAAGGAGAGTGTGAGAGATGATCCGAAACAATCAACAACGCGATCCCAAGTATTGGGCATTTCGAGAACCAGTTTGCTCCGCATTCTCCACAAGGATTTGAATGTACACGCCTACAAGATCCAATTGACGCAAGAGCTGCGTCGGGCCGACCATTTTTCGCGCCGAACGTTCTCAGATTGGCTCCTTGAACACCGCCAAATTGATGCCAATTTTTCATCAAAAATCATGTTCAGCGACGAAGCGCATTTCACTTTGAATGGGACGGTAAACAAGCAGAAGAACTGCCGCATCTGGGCGAACGAAAATTCCCGTGAGTATCAAGAGCAGCCGATGCATCCTCAAAAAGTGACTGTGTGGTGTGCATTGTGGTCAAAGGGCATCGTCGGACCTTACTTTTTCGAAAATGCGGCCGGGACGCCGTTAGAGGACTATTTTTTGTCGCAACTTGAAGGAATGGATATGGACGATGTTTATTTCCAACAAGACGGTGCAACATGCCACACAACCAACGTCAAAATCCATCGATTGCAGTCCTTCTTCGGTGATCGCGTGATTTCGCGCAGAGGAAATGTGCCATGGCCACCAGGATCGTGCGATTTGACTCCCTTGGACTTCTTTTTTATGGGGATATTTGAAAAGCAAAGTCTACGTCAACAAACCAGCCACCCTCCAAGAACTCAAAAACAACATCATTGCCGAGATAAATGCCATAGAACCGACCATGTTGCAAAATGTCATTGAAAATTTTGACCATCGCGTGGACGTCTGTAAATCCAGTCGTGGTGAACATTTGAGCGATATTATTTTTCATACATAAATGGTATAAATGATCCTTCAAAATAAAGTACCCAACTTGATTTGAATATCAATCTTTCTTGTTTTAATATGCGTTTACTTTCCTGCGTCCGTTTTGGACAACCCCATACTTGTACATTTTTCGCTAGCATCATACGTGGCTTGTACATTTATACTTGTATAGCCTTTGCGATTTACGAACTCGTCAGCAAATCTTCTTGTCCTTTTCATTTTTACATGAGTGCAATCCAACGCACCGATCACAGTAGGAATTGTGAAACGTGATTGCCATTTAATTTTTGCAACCTTTAGTTCAACGACAGTTGTTGGAAATCTAATCCAGTGATCTGCCTTCTGGTACACTTTATTAAGAACCCAACTTCTGCTACTCCGGTCTGAAACCCTGGATTGCCTAGATAGCGTAGAAATATATCGATTTTTGTTCTTGCAGATAGTGCTCCGCCTCTGCGTTCATTATTTTCTGACAGAAACTCGGAACATAAGAAATCTACACTTTCTGAATCAAACCTTAACAAACGTTTTGACTGACTAGGGCTAACATTCCGTCTTTTTCGATATGTTTTACCCGCACGTAACTGCATGAAATCTGCCATGTTCAACCGTAAGTATACTTACCTTACAAATTATCGAGTATTTACTAACAACATAAGTATTTAACTGCCCATTAATGGGTGAGGTGAATAAAACCAAGTAAGCACTTCATAAGCATTTACTTACGAGAAAAGTGTTGCCTTGAGAGTTGAAGCAAATTCTTGGCAATGAGTGAATAATTGTAAGGCATGACTCAGAAAGGTCTACTTGTTAATATTGAGGTAATACTTGCGGCGAGTGCAAGTCTTAGCTTGTTTATCCTTATTCACATATTCAAATCGTCTTATTTACGAGTATTTGCTTTGTAAACCTTACGCGTCGTATAAATCTCTTTAGGTTTCTGTATATTTTTGTTTAACTAAGTTATTTTAAGTCAGACACAAGAAACCTCAAGATTACTAACAATTAGGATGTCTTCTAGTGACGAAGAAAGTAAACACCGAAACTTGTTTCTGATAACCGAGCATAGCTAGTCAGAATCTTGCAGCTAGAAAACAATAAAATAGTACTAAATAAGTCAATGGTACCAAAAATGGTTTCAGCAAAAGAAACCGCCTGGATAATAATTAGAGAGGAATTCATAAAATATACAGGGAAAAACGTAACTATAGATCAAAAAACTGTAGGTTTATCAACTCCTGAATTTCAACGCTTAGTACTACTAGAGCAGCTGAAACTAACTAGACTACAAATTGAAAAAGAGGAACTCCAACTGAAAAACCTACGTCAGCAAGAAAACGAAGCTATTAATACCCAAAAGAATGACGATCCTTTAGTTAATTCGGAATTTAGATTGCAAGATTTTCTTTTGTTAAAGTAAGTTTTCTAACACATTTATGAATAATTAGAATTTATCTATAATTTCTCATGTATAATATGTATCAGAACTTTTGGTACGAGTAAATATAGTATCGTGTAGAATAACTGAATTTAAGAGCTACATAATTTTTATTTGATACCTATTAACTATGATAAATATGTTGGAAACATATTTTGTTATTTAAATTGAATTAAACTGATTTACTATTTGGACTATTTCTAAGCGCTTTTCTTCACCAAGACGTCTAATGTCTCCTTGCTCTTGCTCAACAATTTCTGGGACAGCATCATGATCGTCGTTATTATATTCTATTCCATAGTCCCACTCATCCTGCAAATACTTAGCAATATTATGAAGTATAGCACAACATATGATTATTTTCGGTACGTTCCTTATTGGGAGTCTAATCCTATTTGCTAGAATTGGAAAGCGCTGTTTTAGTTGGCCAAATACACGTTCTATTACAACTCTCTTTTGAATGTAATCTGTTGTACCGCCGTTCTGATTCAGTTTGTGGTTGTCTAAATGGTGTTAAAAGCGATGGAGATATACCATATCCGCTGTCCCCTAGCAAGCAAGCATTCCATTGGAATCTTGCAAGTTTTTGTTGAACAGCACTTTGTCTCCAAATCCTACTATCGTGCGCACTTCCAGGCCATTGCACGTCTATACTTGTGATACTTTCCATTGCATCACATGTCATCTGAACATTTAATGAAGCAACATTTTTCCCATTTATGTACTCATCGCCAAACTGCACTTCAGGTTTCTTAATTTGTATATGGGTACAATCAAGTGCGCCAATTACGGTGGGAATCCTGTATTTTGCCACCCAACTTGTCTTTGCTTCGTTTAAATCTCGTTCGGTTGTTGAAAACACTATCCATTGACCTGACTTCTCCATAATTTTTTGTGCAAAATAATCTACAGTCTTACAAACCGTTGTTCTTTCAATACCAAAATCGTTTGCAACACCACTTTGAAAACCAGGGTCGCTAATATACCGGAGAAATATTTCAATATATTTTCTTAAGGACAGAGCACCACCTCGAGTTTCGTTGGTTTCTGGTAAGAAATAGTTTGTAGTGAAATCGATATTTTCATTTTCAAACCTTAAAAGACGTTTTGCACTATATCTGAGATCTGTTCGATCACGATATTTTTAACTTTACGTATATTCATAAATGCTGCCATAATTTAGTTTAGACCTTGCGAAAATGAAAGTATTTACTTAATACGTAGTTTTCTATTGCTGTTATTCACTCCAATCGTAAGTGAACACTCAAAATAGTTACTTTAGGAGTAATAACTCGAGATAGCAAGTCTTTGCTTGACAAGTACAAGTAAAAGTTTTATTAATCACTTACTACCAAGAATTTACTTTAAAATTATGAAGTAAAAGCATTTACTCATTCACTCATTCTTAAGTGAACACTCGGAAAAACTGAGGTTTTACTACATAAGCTAAGTACTTACTACAAAGAGAAGTAAATGCTTGATCTAAAATGTACTTCATATTTTATTCACTCAATCCTGAGTATTTACCTACAAATTCCCTAGTACAAGCATTTACTAAAGTTTATTCACTTGGCTAATTATCAGCATTGGAATCAGTGGTATGCTAACGCGTTCAGTATTGTGAATTTTGTGCCAGGCCGTGCATGGAAAATTGCGTATTGGGGACCAATTGAGTCAAGAGTAATGTAGTATATATTTAAAATGACGGATCACTTTTGTACAGTGAATCGCTTGTATCTCAAAAATCAATCATAAGAACGTCTATGTTATACCAATCTGCTACTTATAAACGAGTCTATTTGAATGTGCAATAAAATGTGGTACATTCGGTTCATCTGTAATTTTTTAACTGAATGTTAGATATTTTATTGCACATTCAGAAATACCTATCTAAAAGAAGATCGATATGATATGACATGACTTTCGCTGATTAGTAGCGTATATTGTGTTGAAATCTTTTGGACACTAATGTTATAGTATTATTAACAACTATCTCAGAAATTTCCTTATAAAATGTTGTTGGTCTCTCGTAGACAGTAGGTTCTGCCCATTGGCAACCAGCGCGCCACCTTGATTTCTGCACGTACTAGCCGTATATGAATATTTGTTTTCCTAACAAGATACCTTCTTTACCTGTCGAGATACATTCTTAACCTATCGAGATACCTTCTTTCTTATCAAGATACCTTGTTTTAAAAATTTACGTGTGCAGAAGTATCCAGCGCTATTTTGCTTTCCGTTGTGGTTTTGGTTGTGAGTGGGTCGTTTCGTTGGTAATAATTTCCAGCTTCTGGGATTTTTGACCCCCAAACACCAGTTTATGGAGTAGTACCCTTTTATTTTGTACCTTACGTTTGGATGCTACCTCGTCCATTTTCTATTTTAACCTTCAGCGGTAAGTTCTTTTTTGTATACCATCGGACCACGTCCATTAATGCATGTCCTGAAGAAGTTTGTTCAATATCTATTCCCTTTTAGTGAAAAGGCATTGCGGAGAACCACCATTCACACTCCTCCAGCTTTGTTTTATAGCTGTTTCGCAGCCGATTTTGCTGGAAGCCACCCTTTTCCCTTGACAAAAAACCCTGATGTGAACGTGTAAAACATTTTAATTGGGTGTTTTATAGATATTAATATACTGATTATTGCTGACTAAAATTCTTACAGTGTTCTTGATTTTGTTTGGCATTTTTCGTATTCCAATGTAGGGCAGTACCTTACATTGTCACCTTCTTTTGGGCATACTACATTACGTTGATTGTGATAACTTTCTCATGGTATATCACTTTAGTACATTTTTATCTTTTTGCACTTGCTTTACTTTTCTTGTGAAAGAGAATGTACATGGATTTTTCTTCAAGTTCTGAGTGTTTTAAATGTAGTTCTGTCTCAGTCCGAGAATAGATTTTTAAGCAGTCTTTCTCTAGGGTTTTTTTACCGTAAATTTTGGAAAACGATGCAAGCTACCCCCACCGTGTGACGTGCCCACTGCTGGCCACTGGTTTTTTGACCTGAGCGTTTGTGAGCTAGGACATCTCAGCTGCGCCTAAACCGTAAGTGGAAGAAGACCATTATCCAGATAAGTTTAGATTTAGGCTTTAAAATATTTGTAAAGCCTATATTTGTATAGCCTTCGTACGTGTACCATACAAGTTCCGACCGACTAACATCATGGAGATTTGTGGCTTAATCCGTCTTGAGTCACTGGCGCTCCCTACTCTCCACTTTATTGAGCTAGGGTCTGAATATGCACGCCACTTGACAGCTGTTTTGCATTGACTGACTCTTAGATTTCATTTATAGTGATTTATTAATTCATTAATTAAAAAAAAGGACAGATGCATCACACCACCATTTCCTCTTGTTTATAAAAACAGGCGTGGCATAGGTTGACTTATGTAATCTAGATTCCATTTTGATATTACTTTCGGGAGGCTCTCTTAAATACACTTTTTGCTTTTAGTAAGACACGTGGTTAAAACTAAAACCTTTAATACTAAAACACTTATTTTTTATAAAATAGTGAAATGATTGAACTTACAAAGTATCAAGATGTTGGACACTTAAGTTACACAAAGCTTTAAACTTATTCACTGTAGCTGATGTCCACGCCTTGGATAAATTATGACTCAAATCAAACGGATCTTGTACGCAAAATGAAGATGTGTATCTAAACAGTTCTGGATCTCCACTTTGTAACTTATTCACATAAGATTTCATTTCAGGTGGTAAGCATGAGGTATTTTCAAAAACTGTTTTTCTTACTGTGTGTCCTAGTAGAGGGCACACAACCTGTAACACGAAGAAATAAACTTGACAGATAAAACTATACAGGCTGTCCCAGAATGTCAATATCTCGTATGCATATAGAAACCAAAAAGTATTGCCACAAATTCCTGTAAAAATGTCCGTGGGGATCCCCTACGGAGAAATACGTCTTTGTCGACGCTACTGGAAATCAAATTTCCTAAAACACGGTACGGTTTTCCGAAAACAACTTTTAAACGACAGTGTGTGTTCAACGAAATTTTAATTAACCAAGTAACACAATTTGGGGCCTCACGTGAATGTGTCCATGGAACACAATCAACTCATTTAGATAACCAGGGATGGACCAACCCCCAACGAAATATTCCTAACAAATTTTACACTCTTGTTTGACACTGATAACATGAACCTTTTTTTAGAGAAACGCTTTTATTCAAAGTACAGTTCTATTAATGATGGCACTGGAGCCACCCGCAATTTGTGGATTTTGTTAATATAGTAATTTTGATAGACACATTCGTCAACTAGGAACACTATTGACTGTTTTACTCAAAAATCAAGGAGGTGACACGTCTTATGGGCGTTCTGGCAATGCCAAGGTCACCAAGTAAAATCAAGTAAACAATATTACCGGCATCGAGACACCTGCACGGGTATTACGTATCTTGAAAAGTGACGTTATATAGATTTTTTTGACACTATACTGTTTTTTTACATGTATTTTTTACTTAGCACTGCGTTGTACGTGTTGCCTGAACGTCATGAGGATTCAGTTATCAATGTTTGGCGCTGATGTGATGTAAAATCTGTTTCAGAGATGACATTACTGGAGGTCTAAGCTGTAAGTTCTATGTGTTGATGGATTTGGATTGGATTATTGTCTCAAATACACTTACTTGAGATTCAAAGCTAGAAATTAGTTGCGCGTCCACTTTTTCTTATCCATTCTGGAAATTACATATGCAAATTCGCTGAATTTCAAAAATGAGAGAGATAAGAAATAATTATATTCACTGTACACTGTCGAATTACAAGCCATATACATGCTAACAGTAATTACACACAACGCGGGCGCGGTGATTTCCCGTAATTCTTCTCGAAGTTTTTCGTAATTTATAACTTTGAACATAACCTCTCTTCAGAAAGCACATCACAAACAACTCGTCGGGCACATCTAATACATATACTTCATTGGCAGCATATTCAGTAAGGATTTTCTCACACATCAAATATCACTGATTTTATACTCATGCAGACCAATACACATAATCATCCAGATGCGATATTGCTATTTAACCAACTTTCTTCTCAGAGATGAAAACTACAGACCATTCGGCATCACAAAACATATGCAACCAACAATGCGTGTAGCTTAGTTGAGTCATTCCTCCATAGATGGACGCTCACAACGATCCTAGTGAGCAAATGTGGAATCACTGCACCCTAATACCTACCGAGTCTGCAAGATGACATTTTATAAGTTTTTTACATAATACCCGTGCTGACTAGCTTATTTATAAAGATTGTATAAATTACATTAGGGTTTTCTGTTTCAGAACTATGAAGAAGCACTTCAATGAGTTGAGAAACCTGTGTTTTGCAATACAACACAACATGACTTTAGAATACATCTATCTACATTTTCATGCAAAACAATTTTTACACCATTATCAAAAAATATGTTTACAGCATGTGATTAATTGTTGAAAATAAATGTTTTTTATGCATCATAATTAGTATTAGATTTTATTACTATGAAATTTTTCTCAGCAAAACTGCTGAAAGAAATATTACCCTTATTGAGGCTATTTGATCAATATACGCTCATGAAATAATCCTTCAATATCGCAAATATCATATCCAGCAGATTTCAAATTATGAACGAAATATCCTGCACATTCCTGGCATTCCTTATTCCAGACGCATTTTCGCCATTCCTTCGATAGTTTCTCCAGATTTCCAGGCAACTACGCGGCGCCACCTTCTGACAAACTTCTTCAGTGTTATGTGTTCTGTGACAAACATGCTCTTTTATCGTGACCGAACACGAATACATTTTTTCAGTTAAAGCCATAAAATTCCAAAAATATTATCTTTGGGCTATTATTACACAAGGTGTAAAAAATGTCAGCAACACTTCGTTAGGACTAATCCGTCCTTGCTGTTCTAAATCAGTTGTTTTCCATGGACATTATCAAGTAAGGCTCCAATTGGTTACTAAGTTGTCAAAATTTCGTTAAATTGAAAAGTGTCGTTCAAACGTTATTTGAGAAAAACCGATTATCAGAAGCGTTCTTTAGGGGCCCCATAGGATATTTTTTATACGATCTCTTATGTATTCTATCTCCATAGGAGAAATTGACATGCTATATGGGCAGTCTGTAGATGAAGTTTAAAACGGAATCATTGAGGTTAAATTGCTTCTCTTCTAAAGATACATATTTGAGCAACTTTTTTACTAAACGTCAAAGTTGTAAAAAATCACTTTTTCGTTAATATTAAAAGAACTATCAAGTACTGATAAAAGGGGTCCATGGAGGAATTGTAGGGAATAAAAATACCTTTGAAATGAGTCGTATGCCAAATTTGCTGCAGTTGTTAATTTTATATTGCAACTTTTGCAGAAAAGTTAAATCTTTGTGGACAACAACCAACAATGTTCAACAGTTTCAGTAATATCTGTTATACTATCCTACTATTCTTTTTCGAAATGACTATTTTTTTCTGTCCAGAGATGTAAGCGCTGCAGCAAATTTAACACAAATGTTTTTTGAAGATTTTCATATAACCATACCAGTAACATTTTTTGCATATCTGAATGAGGGGCATTTGCATTTATCCCCAAGAATATAATTCTGTTGTGAAATACTTCTACAGAAAAGCTCATATGTTCCGGGTGGCCCAATAATAAAGTACGTCGGCTGTATCTCGGCAATCGCTCAACCTAGAGCTATCGGTTAAAAAAAATTATGATAAAAATTGGCAAAGATAAATTGTTGTGTAACGTGGGTAAATGGTTGAATGTCATTTCAGAAAAAGTCTTATAACTTTTGGCTGCACCGATTTTCTTGGTTCCGTTTGAAAGAGTATTTATTCACCTGCGATCCTAATGAAATAAGAGGAACTTATAGGGTTATTTGGACAATGTTTATGTTTTGTCCTTATTGATCCTCATTAGGGGCGTAGAGATTTACAACATCTTGGTAATCGCACATTTTAGGATCTACATTTATAGTAACTTTTTTCATTATTTTTGGATGTCCTTTTTTATCCTAAAAATATTGTCACGTTTTTCTGAAACGTATACAAGTTTTTCTGCAATGGCCCTCTTGTAGATGATCTAATAGAATGAATGAAACATATGCAAGGAGAATAAAGCTTGACAACATATATACTCACATCAGTATCATAATGAAATGTACTGTAGTAATTAAAGAAATCCTTTAAGAGCTCTGTAATGCTCTTGTCACATGGTTTCACATACTGTAGCATTTGGCTTAAGGGGATTTTATAACTAACTGCCTCCCAACCTGAAAATAAGATTGTATGAATTGATTATAGTATTTGTCAAATTCACCAATTTTCATCTATTCATAGTATTTGACAATATAAGAAACACATCTGTAACGTAAAATATGTATTTTTAATAGCTAATTTGCATCTACTCCCTCGTCGTTTTTTGGCTGTGTATCGAAAAAACATGTATTGACAGAATGTCTGTTTTAATGAACGAGGGCAATTCAAATCCGTCCGCTGGTTCAGCTATATGAATTAATTTTTATGCGTGGCCATACAATTCAATCAATTATTTATGTATTTATTGTGATATCTCTGAAATATCAGAGCAGAGCCGAATCCGCTGAATGTAGAAACTTGAAGTTTTGCAAAGTGGCCCTTCATAAAGAGTAAGTTAGCACCAAGAAGGGATTTTTGAAAATTCATGAAGAAGTAATGGGGCGAAAAATTGAGTTTTTATGACACTTTTTATTTTTCCAATGGATTTACGTGAAACTGTAAAGGTACTCCAAAATACATATAAAGCATGCATTAAGCAACATTTTTGTAAATGTATCCAGTAAATGGGTGTAATACAGGTTGGCAGTTTGTAAGCAACGTTTATTCCTTCAATAGATATAACTGAAAAATTGTACATATACTCAACAACACAAATTAATGATACTCGGCAACTCCCCTTCATACAAAATAATTAAAGCTCTACATAATATCAATCCCTCTTTTACATTTCACTCTTAAGGGATAATTTTTGAAAAAGCACAAATTCCATTATCTACACTATAGACTTTGAAGTAAATTAATTGAAAAAATAAAAAGTATCATAAAAACTTCCTGTTCCCAAACATGATGTCCCTCGTAATATTGATTAAACATATGAAAATCCAATTCTTTAAGCTACTTTGGCTTTTGATATGAGAGAGCACGCCGGATCATGGCTTTTTGATGTCATGGCACGTTTAGAAGATTCAGATCTATAATGGGTCTGTTATCGTCATTTGTCCTAAAAAATAGCTTATTTCTTAATTAGAGTGGTCAAGACGTGGCAAGAATTTGGACTAAATAGTTACGAAATGATCGACATACGAATATTCAACTTTTAGTCATTTTAATCTATTCATTGATGGAGTGATATGTTCATACTTGTTTCCTTGTTATTATTATATTATATATATTATATAATATTAAACTGCAACTCCGTATTTATAAAATTAAATAAAATATTAATGAAATTGATGGAAATGAAATGGGCTCATCGTATCCAATTGAAGTCTTGGCATACCTAAAAGGCATTTGAACGATTTAAAGAAATGCATCTCACTTTATGGAAAAACCTGGATGTTGTTTTTCCTGGGTAGCTTTAAAATACTATCATCACGCAAGCTTTATAGGACTTACAACAAAAAACTTGGATGAACTATCCATATCTGTGGGGCTTTAACTTGTCGAGGAATCGACAGACAGTTGGTCAGTATGTCAAACCAATATGACAGGATAAAACCGACAATCTTATTAGTGAGGTTGATAGATGGATCGGTACTTGCTATAATTTATTTTTGGATCGTCATCGATTGTAACTGGGCACAAAAAACTTTGGGCGGTAGTACATCTATACAACATACCACGCATGATGATGCTTTCACACAGCTGCTTCTATGTACCTCCTGGAAGTATGTTCCTATTTTTGATTAACAGTCTTAATCTGATATAGCTGCTAATATTTGTATTATGTAAGCGAAAACGTAAATCATAATCAAAATATAGTTCAAGACATTTGATACTGCAAATAAATGGCAGGTACGCTATTTTGATATGCATGTCAGATTTTTAAAATTCCTTCTTTCTCCTAGTAAAATGAGCAAAAAATGTCGTGATCGTCGATTTACGTTTAGGTGAAGTCAAAGAATATATAATACTGATCAAAGAATATGCATAAATCAAATAAAGTCGAATATGATCCAGTGTTAGTAGCGAAAGAAAGTTTTATAAATACTTCATTTAAAAGGCCATTATTAATCTCGCATATTAACGTGCTCGACCAATAAGCAAATCAATTTGAGTTTTTCAATTTGACAACAGGCAACTAAATATATATTATATAAGTATTTGGAGAACGGACAGAACACGTCATGGTGGTTCATTTATGTATAGGTAACAAAACCGAAAATACAGTGTTAGTAGAAGGAGAAATTCTATGACCACCTTGTCTGAGAAGGCCTTATTGACTCTCTTCTCAAACTAGGCATGTAGGTGATAGTTTGGTATACTTATGATTACCATTTATAACTGGATTTGATCCCTTGTTGAGTTCCCTCAGTTTCTTTATAGACAACAAGTGCCGCTCGGTTTGTAGATAAAAAATTACCATCATTGACAACGCATAGTTAGACACGTGATCATGTTCCTTAAAATTATTCATTTCTGACCATTCCTTTATGATTAAAATCAATGGTTGTGTGATTGGTTGCAGGTCTATGCAAAATCTGAAAAATAAAGGTATAATATACAAGACTACTATAAACAAATTGCTGTAACCCTTTACGGTCCGCTTTTTTTTGAAATCATTTATTTTATATCATAGACATTATATTGAATTAGTACTAGTGAATATAAAATGATCGTTTAAATATTATGTCCAGTATTACACAGCCCGTCACCATGATTCCTGCCATATGGAGAAATTCGACTTGTAACGCTATTACCGATTCGTCAAATCACACAAGACATATACTGTTCAAACCGGTAACACCACTGATTAACGTATTCTCACTAGGTAGTTAAGAGGCGGATCTGTCATGTGCACTCAATGAGCCGTAGTCATAAGACAGAAAGCATAAGGTTTTGCTTCTGAGAAAAAAGTAGAATTATAAGCATTCCTTCTTTTCGTATTCATAATGACTACCTTATACTCGTGAGGATATCCTCCAAGAAGTTAAGGGTTGACTGGTATTTAAATCTTGAGCGACATATCCTGACTTGTTCCAGCTTGTAGTGGGCGTGGGGCCTAGTTTCCTCGGCATCGCTTACACAATCAGTTGTACTCTAGAGTCTAGAGGTGACACAGGCCATTCCGTCATTTTACTGGATACAGTTTTTCATCAGATTAGTGAGCATGTCGTCCTCAAGTGAAGAAGAAACTATAGAAAATAATAACAACGAACTACAGTTAATCGCAGATAAAATTGCCACCGCTCCCTTTGTTTTGGAAAAGTCACAAGTTCCAAAATTGAAAATAAGAAAGGACGGTACCTTAAAAAATATATCGAAAAAATACGAATCAGCATTCGGTAAACCATTAGATGCTAAAGACTTATTGAAAAAAATCAACAACATGAAATCGAGAAAACTCTTAACAAAGCAATTAAATTGTTGGATTGGGAGAGAAAACTGCTGAAAGCTATGGAAGGTGACTGTAATCCGTCATCGCCAAGTAGTACATTTGCTTTATTTATTAGTTGTGTTCTAATCTGTGAATTTCTCCATATTTTGGAATCGCCCACTGATCCAGGCCAACTGAGATCAACACTTGTGAACATCTCTCTTGCTTTCCAAGTGGCTTGCACATTTTAAAGTTGATTTCCGTTTTCGGTTGATATACTCATCTACATGGCGATTTGGTTTCGGGATTCTTATATGTGTACAATCAAGTACACCAATTGCTGTCGGAAATTTATACTTGCTTTGCCACATCCTCTTGGCCTCCATTAGTTCGTGGTTGGTAGTTGGAAACTTGATCCATTCGTTTGACTGTGCAAGTATGCTGTTCACAACTGCATCCACAGTCCGAGATACCGTTGCTTGACAACACCAAGTTCCTGACCGATTCCTTGGTGAAATTCAGGGTCACCGAGATAGCGTAGACATATCTTCCTTTTATGAATATATGAAAGTGCTCCTCCTCGAGTTTTCCCATTCTCAACTGAAAATCCTTACGCAAGCCGTTGTAAATTTACTTCTTCGAACCGATATAATTTTTTGAAGACACGACCAAGTGAAGGTAAGCGGGGTTTTAACATCCACAATTTTCGCCACCACCGTTCTTTACGAAGTTGAGTCTGCTACTGACCACACTTAGAATTTTTGAAGGATATGCTTTCTGTGCCAAGTATAAGGTGAAGATTATGTATATCATTTTACTTATGTGATATTGTTTTGAAGGATATGCTTATACTCAAAAAGCAAAAACATTTGGTCCTATTATTATAAATACCATCTAAAGGATTTCTTTCGAAATTTGAAAGTAGTAGGATACCCCTTGTTTTATGAATACGGCTCACTATGAGGCCCCAGCTGTGTAACACTCTTTGTAACATATTGTGTATGAATAGTAGTTATCCTGAAGAATATGATGCTTCCAGAAAACTACCGAGCACCTATTCTATACCAGTACATTGTAAAAATGAGTTATAATATCATCATTAACGTCAAGCGTGCGAGCAGATAAAAATTCCCATTATCTGATGGAATTCAGCAAAACATTTGTTATACTTCATAAAAAGTCCCACATGGCCAGTTGAACATTTCAATAAGGTAGGTGTTACTGTATCCAAGAGCCTCAATCATAGGTAACCAGTAATCGTGGTGAAGTCCAATTACTGTCAGGGGCCCAGTTCTTGAAATGAGGGAATAGCACAGGTAGTAGAGAGTGATAAAACATCAAATATATTTGTGAATGCATCTATTTTCGGCAAAATAATATATTTCTAGGTTTTTCATATCAATTATTTTTGTAACAAAAAGATAACTTCGTTTTTCGAAACGAGACTAATGAACGATGGTGAAACTTCTGCACTTTTTCTCCCGAGAATGATTCGAGGAGTGGCTATTCTATTAGCGTTCAGGATTACAGCTTCTCCAAAGGTAATAGAACCACGCATACTTTCTCTTATTTATTCTATTCCCTCATATCAAGAATTGGCCTCCATGAATGCACATATGCAACTACCAACTACCCATTTCGGGCCTGATGAAGCCAACCAGCAGAAATACGTATCGCTCGGGTTACCTATTCTATTTCTGCTCGAATCCACTTTTTGCGGATTTTGCCCATTATTTTCCTATTTTTGTTATATACCTTTCTCCGCATGATAATTTTCTCTTTATATTAATATATATATATATATATATATAGGTGAAAAATTAAAGCTTCCGCCTTTTGTTGGGTACTTCGACAAAATTTATTCCATGACCACCATTTTGTGCAATCATCAAGTGGCTTCACGATGTAATGCTCTAATGTTTTTTAAATAATTTTTAATCTGTTTTTAACTTGTTCTTGTCATATTTTATATAATTTTGACCATTGTACCATCTATCCAGCTCTCACCATGTTACTGGACGTTTCCCTCATCCTATACGTAAACAACAATTAGCAACATCCTCACATACTACTCTCCTGATGATGATGGCAAAGTCCATTGAAAGCTAGAGAGAATTAAAAAAGTATAAAGAGTCCTCTTTGCTTAAATTTTGTCGAAGTACCCAACAAAAGGGGGAAGCTTTAATTTTTCACCTAACTGGTCTAGACGACAATGACCACGTCTCAAGTTATATATATATATATATATATATATATATATATATATATATATATATTATGTGTATAGTTTATTCAGTGAAACAAAGCAGTTACGGCATATTTAGTAAATTTGAATGCCAAGCTCAATGCAAAATAGATTAAATTGGTACGTATAGTTTGAATTTCCTGGGTACAGTTATGTTGGTAGCTAGCTTTTCCCAGGGTGTCTTATAAATGTCCGCATGTTTCCACACCTAAGCTATGCAGTCGGTTATCTTCCAAAACAAAGAAATTAATGATGATGGATCCCTCGAGCACTAAGAACTCCGGACGTAAACTCACTCCTTTCTCGGAATGTCCGGGTGGAGGGTGGGCTCGAGGGAACAACATCGAAGAAAAAATTTGTTTTTCGAACATCTGCGGGATCAACAGCAACATTGATGCTGTTCATCACTACCTGCAATCCAATCGTCCTGCCGTGCTTTTCTTGGCGGAGACAAAAATCTCAGAGACTGCACCGATTAACCATCTCAACTTCCCAAACTACGAGGTGCACTCCAAACTGAGAAACGGGGGAGTTGTGGCATTTGTCCGCAGCAGTCTTTCCTGCTCCAGGGATCTTTCTTTGGAATCAGACCGGAAGGACATTCTGTGGCTTCGCCTCAACTCCAAAACATCACCCAAATTTATTTGCTACCTTTATCGCTCTCCCTCGAACCATAACTGGGATGACCTACTCGAATACCTCGCCGTCCAGATCGACTTTCTGAACATCAATCACCCCGCTTCAGAGGTAGTTCTTCTCGGTGATTTCAATGCCCATTATGAGCTTTGGTTGGGCTCAAATAAGACCGATGCAGCAGGTCGTGCAGTCGAAGCGTTCGCTCTTACTCAAGGGCTGACCCAGCTGGTGACGAGCCCTACTTTTTTACCCCGCGTCTCGTCACACGCCAGTAGCCTGCTGGATCTCTTTCTGACCACGCATTCTGTCCCTTACAGCACTGCTGTCCTGTCCCCCCTGGGTAACTCGGACCACGGTGTTGTGGAGGTTGAGTTTCGGTCAGAACCCGCTGTGGCAGCAGAAACTCGTACAGGCCGCAAAACTTGGCATTACGGACATGCCGACTGGGAGGGGCTCAGAGACTTCTCTAGCTTTCCTTGGAGAGATGTCTGTTTCACTGACGCGGATGCGTCGACTGTTTGTTCTTCGATAACCGAAATTATCCACGTCGGAATGGAGGAATACATCCCTCACACAGTGAAAGTTCCTAAACCAGGGTCCAACGGCTGGTTCAACAAATCGTGTGACACTGCTCGCCAGCAGAAGATCAAGGCACACAGAACCTACTTACAAAACCCCACTGTAGAGAACAGACAAGCCGACGTCCGACGTCCAGAAACAAATATAACGAAGCGGTTCGCAATGCCAAAAAACAGCATGATATAAAAGTCAGGCACAGGGTAATGTCGCAGCGCAATGGCAGTCGGTCTTTCTGGACGCTGGCCAAGCAGATTGGAAAGAACTTCTCACACAGTAGCCTTCCACCACTTACGTGTCAGGATGGAACTATTGTATTCGACTCAAAGGCCAAGGCGGAAGTGCTAGCCAAGATCTTTGCTGCCAACTCCACCATGGACGTCCCCACCAACGCCCAAGTGCCGTCAATTCAAAGGGTTCCCCCACACTATGCGGGAGGTAACATTCAGGCATAAGACCGTAAGACGAGTGCTCTTGCCGCTCGACATCAAGAAAGCTTCTGGTCCGGACTTGATTCCTGCCATTGTACTGAAGAGATGTGCAGCGGAGCTTGCTCCAGTTCTTTCGCGTCTCTTCCAGATATCTTATGAATCCGGCATCTTCCCAGAAAACTGGAAATTTGCTCATGTACAGCCCATCCCCAAAAAAGGATCTAAGACCTTACAACTACAGGCCTATAGCTCTGCTTTCTGTTATAAGTAAAGTGA